TAATGTCTGGAGGAACAGCAGCACGTACAACATGTCAAACTCACGGCCCAAGGGCCACATGTGGCCTACAATGAATATTTTTGCAGCCAGCCAATATAACGGTATGTAAGAAATGTTTTAATAAAAATTTTATAGCTGAAACCGGTTTGGCTCAGTGGATGGAGCATCAGCCTGCGGACTGAGAGGTCCCAGGTTCGATTCCGGTCAAGGGCATGTACCTGGGTTGCGGGCACATCCCCAGTAGGAGATGTGCAGGAGGCAGCTGATCGATGTTTCTCTCTCATCGATGTTTCTAACTCTCTATCTCTCTCCCTTCCTCTCTGTAAAAAATCAATAAAATATATTTAAAAAAAAATTTATAACTTAATTTTTATAATACCCTGTTATACATAATCCTATCTAATAAAAGAGTAATATGCAAATTAACCCTCACTCCATCACAAAGATGGTGGCGGCCACAGAGCTGGAGCAAGCAGGAGGTTTGGGTTGCCCCTGGCGATGGAGGAAGCAAAGCTTTCCGCCTGCCCTGCTGGCCCTAAGCTCCGCTCAAGGCTACAGAGTTTCAATTATAGAAGATAAATAAATCCCAGATATCTGCTTCCAGCCGGCGAGGCCTCTGTTCAAGGAGGGGCTGGGCAACCCAGGCTTTGAGCCCAACCAAGGCAACAAAGTTTCAATTACAGAAGTTAAATAAATCCCAGATACCTGCTTCCAGCCTGCAGGTGTGGCCAGCCTGAAAACAGCCCTCAGCCCCTCACCCAGGCTGGCCACACTCCCATGGGGTGAGGGTCCCCACTGGGGGGCTTGACCACCCTGCAAACAGCCATCAACCCCTCACCCAGGCTGGCCAGGCACCCCAGTGGGAACCCCCACCCTGAAGGGGGTGTGGCCAGCCTGAAAACGGCCCTCAGCCCCTCACCCAGGCTGGCCAGGCATCCCAGTAGGGACCCCCACCCTGAAGGGAGTGTGGCCAGCCTGAAAACAGCCCTAAGCCCCTCACCCAGGCTGGCCACACCCCCATGGGGTGAGGGTCCCCACTGGGGGGCTTGACCAGACTGCAAACAGCCATCAGTCCCCCACCCAGGCTGGCCAGGCACCCCAGCGGGACACCCACCCTGATCCGGGACACCCTTCAGGGCAAAACAGCCAGCCCCCACCTGTGCACCAGGCCTCTATCCTCCTATATCAGTGGTTGGCAAACTGCGGCCCCTTGAGTGTGGCTCTTCCACAAAATACCATGTGCGGGCGTGCATGTACAGTGCAATTGAAACTTCGTGGCCACACTCAAGGGGCCAAAAAGCCGCATGTGGCTTGCGAGCTGCAGTTTGCCGACCACTGTCCTATATAATAAAAGGGTAATATGCAAATTGACCCTAACAGCAGAACGACTGGGAATGACTGGTCACTATGACACACACTGACCACCAGGGGGCAGATACTCAATGCAGTACCTGCCCCCCTGGTGGTCAGTGCGCTACCACATAGTGACCAGTCACTATGGTCACTATGGCTCCTGGTGGGAGCCTCTCCTGCCTCCTCAGCAGCACTAAGGATGTCCAACTGCAGTTTAGGCCTGCTCTCCGCTGGCAAGTGGACATCCCCCGAGGGCTCCTGGGATGCCAGAGGGATGTCTGACCTGCCAGCTTAGGCCCGTTCCCCTGGGGAGCAGGCCTAAGCCAGCAGGTGGTCATCCCCCAAGGGGTCCCAATCTGCCAGAGGGCACAGGCTGAGCTGAGGGGCACCCCCTTCCCCCGAGTGCACAAATTTTTGTGACCGGGCCTCTAGTTATTAATAACGAACTACAGCCGAAACCGGTTTGGCTCAGTGGATAGAGCGTCGGCCTGCGGACTGAAGGGTCCCGGGTTCGATTCCGGTCAAGGGCATGTACCTGGGTTGCGGGCGCATCCCCGGTGGGAGATGTGCAGGAGGCAGCTGATCGATATTTCTCTCTCATCGATGTTTCTAACTCTCTATCTCTCTCCCTTTCCTCTCTGTAAAAAATCAATAAAAATACATTTAAAAAAAAGAAAAAAAAAAATAACGAACTACAACGTTCACTAATGGCTGATTCCTATAATCCTGTTGCATTCATTTCCCTTATGTGCCTTACACGCAGGTGCACCATTTCTCTCCACTAATACTAGCATTGACTATTTTAGCAGCCGATGGCCACGTCATTATCTTGGAGTGACTTGTTTGGTGTGCGCAACAGGAAATATTTCACTTTCGGAAAACAAGAAAAATGGGTTTATTTGTGTTATGCTTATTAATTTCTGCAGTTATGCAGTGTCTAGTAAGTTAATGTTCAAGAAAAAATATTAGCCCTAGCTGGTTTGGCTCAGTGGATAGAGCAGCCGTGGGCAAACTACAGCCCGCGGGCTGGATCTGGCCCGTTTGAAATGAATAAAACTAAAAAAAAAAAGACTGTACCCTTTTATGTAATGATGTTTACTTTGAATTTATATTAGTTCACACAAACACTCCATCCATGCTTTTGTTCTGGCCCTCCGGTCCAGTTTAAGAACCCATTGTGGCCCTCGAGTCAAAAAGTTTGCCCACCCCTGGGATAGAGCGTCAGCCTGCAGACTCAAGGGTCCCGGGTTCGATTCTGGTCAAGAGCATGTACCTGGGTTGCAGGCACATCCCCAGTGGGGAGTGTGCAGGAGGCGGCTGATCGATGTTTCTCTCTCATCGATGTTTCTAACTCTCTATCCCTCTCCCTTCCTCTCTGTAAAAAATCAATAAAATGTATTTTTTTAAAAAAGAAAAAAATATTAATTTTTATTAAAATGTTCTATTATTTTATATGAATGATGACTCATTTCTTTCAGCCCTTTGTATTCAGCCTGTCTCTATGGAAATAAACCTACATTTCTATGAAAATTGAAGCTTTTGTTGTTTTGCGGCCCATGTACACTTCAACCTTGTTTATTTGGCCTGTGTTAGCCTTTGAGTTTGACATGCTCGATGTACAACGAGCAGGGAGGAGTGTCCAGAAGAGAAATGGGAGAAGCATCAAAGAGGAGGGGAACCGAAACCGGTTTGGCTCAGTGGATAGAGCGTCGGCCTGCGGACTGAGGGGTCCCGGGTTCGATTCCGGTCAAGGGCATGTACCTGGGTTGCGGGCACATCCCCGGTGGGAAGTGTGCAGAAGGCAGCTGGTTGATGTTTCTCTCTCATCGGTGTTTCTGACTCTCTATCTCTCTCCCTTCCTCTCTGTAAAAAATCAATAAAAAATATATTTAAAAAAAAAAAAAAGAGGAGGGGAAAACCCAGGGAGAGACTTGGTTTCAAGGACTCCATAGTGAACTAAGTCAGTGTCAACTGCTGTCAGGAAGCAGGTAAGATGAGGACACAAAACTTTCTTGGGCCCGGCTGGCATGGCTCAGTGGTTGAGCATTGACCTATGAACCAGGAGGTCACGGTTTGATTCCCAGTCAGGGCACATGCCCGGTTCCCCAGTAGGGGCCATACAGGAGGCAGCTGATTGATGATTCTCTCATCACTGATGTTCCTATCTCTCTCTCTCCCTCTCCCTTCCTCTCTGAAATCAACAAAAATATATTTTTTAAAATAATACAAATTAAAAATAAAAACATGCAAAACAATGTTTATATATTATGGAAATGAGTTGAAATATAAGATGAAAATATGCAACATGCTATCACAGCGTATGTTACACTTGCACCTATACGTGCAAACTGGCCAACAGTCTGTTTTTACCTATATTTACTTACAAGTGTTTCTTTTTTTCCTCTGAAGTGATTTTTTTCCCTTCTCATCATTTAAAAAGCTTTTTGTTTAAAACTAATTACACAGTTGCAGTTCTGACCATCTTTAAATCTTCTCTTCTTGCTGGCTCCATCTTTTTTAGTGGTTCTGTCTTTTCTTTCTTTCCTGATTTTTAAAAATATGTTTTTATTGATTTCACAGGAAGGGAGAGGGAGAGATAGAAACATCCACGGTGAGAGAGAATCATTGATCAGCCTCCTCCTACATGCCCCCCACCTGGATTGAGCCTGCAACCTGAGCATGTGCCCTGACTGGTAATGGAACCGTGACCTCCTGGTTCATACTGGTAAGCCGACACTCAACCACTGAGCCACACTGGCTAGGCTCTTTCCAGATTTCTATTATAGTATTTTTCATATTCTGCCTGACACGGTCCATTTCAGAAGTCCCCAAGGGTTTCAACCTCTTCTTGTTTCTACTGATATAAGTATGGGGCTCCCTTTCCTACATGTTTGGTGCTCTTTGTGAGGTCTTCTTGGCTAACTCTTCATTTTGGGTGAACTGGAGAGGATTTGCTTTCCACTTCTGCCAGGAGCATCACCACCCTGGATCCGCTATTGTTCCCACCCAGGGTCCCAAGCTCAATCTAGGTGTTCCCCTTCCTACCTCTCTTTTAAAAATATATTATTTATTTCAGAGAGGAAGGGAGAAAGATAGAAACATCCATGATGAGAGAGAATCATGGATCGGCTGCCTCCTGCACACCCCACACTGGGGATCGAGCCCACAACCCGGGCATGTGCCCTGACCGGGAATTGAACCTCCTGGTTCTTAGGTTGATGCTCAACCACTGAGCCATGCCGGCCAGGCCCCTTCCCACAACTCAACACAGCACATACTGCTCATGGAGGCCCGCTGGGCCCTTCAGCAGACTCCTCCTTCCTGGGCAGCAGAGGGAGAGGATTGAACTGCTCCTTGCTTCTCCCTACTTTGCTAGTTTTGGGTTTTGAAGCAACTCCCTCAGGCTTGCTCTGCCTCCTTTGCAAAAGATTAATTCCTACTTCCACAAGGTTGTCATGGGGATGACTGAAGTCAATGGCTGGTGCACACCGAGAGCTCGGCGCCATCTGTTCCTGTGATCTGGCTGCGCCCAGGGCTCTGAGGGTCCATTAATGATGAGAGAGAATCACTGATGGTCTGCCTCCTGCAAGCCCCCTTCCTGCCCAGCGGGTGACCTCCCATCGTCACCCGAATAGAGAGGCCAGAGATAAAACAGCACGACACAGATACTTTATTCTTTATAAAACATAGAAACCCAGCCTCAGGGGGCTTGAGTGATGTCAGGGACACAGAAAGGAAGGGGTTGGTGGGCCCCAGCATGGGACGACTGGCCAGGTCTGAGGCCCTTGCTGCAGGCCCCACTTGTGGCAAAGGGCTGCTCTCCTGCCTACAGTGGGGGGTGGGGGGTGGGGGTGGCTGCCCAAGGCTCCCAGGCCTATTGGAAGCCTGGGCAGAAGGAAGCACTGGCCAAAGACCGTCCCTGATGAGGTGGTGAGCAACTCGAGGCCAATGGCCTTGTGGGCCCCTCCCTAAGCCCGTCTAGTCACCCATCCCCCCTTCAACTGCTCTCCCTCCAGACACCAGCCCTGGGAGAGGACACATGGAGGCAGGAAGGAGGCCACTGCCTACATTTTTCCCTCCCTTGGTGGCCAAGTGACCCTTTTCAACTGCAAAACCACAGATGAGCTGGAATGCTCATTAACTAGGGGAGGGCACCCTTTAAGGGTGATGAAGACTCTGTCTAAAAACTCCATCTGAGCTCAAAGCATCAGTCCCGCCCAGCCCAGCCATGTGCAGGGGCGAGAACCCAAGGCAGCACAGGGAACCTGGTAGCTGGGGACCAGGTCCCGGGGCTGCCTCTTCCCCAGGCCTCAGGGGCCTCACAGGACCACGAGGCAGCCGTGCAGGGTCTGCGCAGGGCAGGGCCTATCTGTCAGGCTGCAGGTGGTTGTGGAGCTGCTCCGCCTGGGTCTTCAGGCCCTGGAATTCCTGCTGGATGAAGTCGGTCAGGGTTTTGCGCATCTCCACCTGAGGGGAAGGGCCAGGCTGAGCAGGAGCCCTCTGGGAGCTGCGCCCAGGGGCCCCAGGAGGCCGAGGAGCACCGGGAGGGGCGAAGGACAGCCAGGGGCAGGCTGGGAAACTCACCGTGGATTTATTCTCCGCACGGAGCCGCTCGAGCACAGGCAGGACGCTGAAGGGCTTGCCTATCAGCACAGTGATTTTCTGCAGGGACACCGGCCACAGGGTGATGAGAATAAGGGGAGTGCCCACAGCCCCAGCCCAACTGCCCTGGGGGACCAGAAGTAGAATCCTGCCCCTGACTTGCTAGGTGCTCCCTCTGGCCACCCTCCCTTTTAATTTTTATTTATTTTAAATTATATTTCAATTGATTTCAATGAGGAAGGGAGGGAGAGAGAGAGAGAAACATCAATGATGAGAGAATCATGAATCAGCTACTTCCTTCATGCCCCCAACTGGGGATCGAGCCCACAACCCGGGCATGTGCCCAGACTAGGAATGGAACCGTGACCTCCTGGTTCATAGGTCAAAGCTCAACCACTGAACCACGCTGGCCAGGCCTCTCCCTCTTTAGAATGGGGCTCAATGGCTTGCAAAGAGCCATCTCAGTCCTAGAGTCCATGCTCTAGAGTCCTGTCCTGTCCTAACCTCAGGGACCACCCCTGCCACAGCCTGATTTCATTTGCTCTCCTTCTCTGGGGCTTGGTGCCCCAGAGCAGTGGTCGGCATACCACGGCTCGCGAGCCACATGCAGCTCTTTGCCCCCTTGAGTGTGGCTCTTCCACAAAATACCACGTGTGGGCACGCACGTACAGTGCAATTGAAACTTCGTGGCCCATGCACAGAAGTCGGTTTTCAGCCTGGACAAGTCTATTTTGAAGAAGTGGCGTTAGAAGAAGTGGGGGGTGTTGGTTGGTCGGGCGACGGGAGATGCGGCGCAGGGGAGGTGCGCGGGATTCATGCACGAGTTGAGGATGGGAGAGTTGGAAGGGGTCAATCTCAGCGAATGTACCTCAATCAGATTGAGGACGTTTTTAGCAAAAGCCAGCTTAGGAGTACCCTAATAAGTTAATAACAATGTACCTACCTATATAGTTTAAGTTTAAAAAATTGGCTCTCAAAAGAAATTTCAGTCGTTGTACTGTTGATATTTGGCTCTGTTGACTAATGAGTTTGCTGACCACTGCCCTAGAGGAAGGCCCTGTCAGTGTCCCACTTGGACCCCTGCCTCAGCCTCAAGCTCAGCTCCTCCTGAACCTGGCTCCCGGGATGCTGAGTGGCAGCCAAGGGGCAAGTGGCAGGTAGGCAGACAGACAAAGACCAGCAGCCCCTACCTACCTGTCCGATGCGGGGAACATATGGCGGTTTGTTAGGAAGGACATCATTCATTCCTGCAGCACGGGGAACAGAAGGTTGGAAGCAGGCAGGGGTGCAGCGGGGCGGCCCCAGCCCTCAGCCTGGCCACCCTCTCCCTAGCCCCGAAGGAAGCCCCTCTCCCTGCCTCCAGCCCGACCGCAGGCCTGCCCAGAGGGAGGCTTACCCACATGCCACAGCGGCAGGATGATGGGGTCGAGATGACACTCGGCGATCAGGCGCCCGATTCCTGCCCGCAGGGAGGTAGAAACGTTGGGCGAAGCAGCGCTTCAGGGCTGGCCTGCAGTAGGGGCCACCCTGCCTGCCCCCAGTTCACACCGGCTCCCCTGGGCCAGCCCTTGTCTCAGTGCCTGGCCCCTGGCTGCTGCTACCAACACGTTCAGCTGCCCCATGTACCATGGTCCACCAGGGCCCCAGAGGGCCAGCAGCCCTTACCCCACTTGAAGCGCAGGAACTCGGAGCTCATGTTCACTTTTCCTGGGAGGGGCGAGACAGAGGGGAGGCTTTGGAGGGGGCGGGTCTCACCCGTATCCTTGGGAGCGTTGCCACCAGCCAGCCCCACTGACCTTCTGGGAAGATGTGCACCCAATCCCCGTGGTTGAGCTTCTCCAAAATGAAGTCCATTCCCTTCTGGTAAACACCGTCTCCTGCCGAGAAAAGGCCTCTCCCCATCAGTCCCCATTCTCCTGGGCCTCTCCTTCCCCCTCCCGCAGAACAGAACGAAGCGGCAGCTCAGGACGGTCCTCTTCCTCCCTGCACAGTCCACACAGACACCCTCCAAGGACTGTCTCTCCCAAGCCCGCTCAGTCCCGGCTGCACCACTTCTCGGCCCTCAACGTCCTTTGTTCAACAATCTCCTCTAGCCCGGCTGCCGGGGTTCAGTGGTTGAGCATCAGCCTGGGAACCAGGAGGTCGCGGTTCGATTCCGTGGTCCTGGTTGTGGGCGCAGTCCCCAGTGTGGGGTGTGCAGGAAGCAGCCAATCAGTGATTCTCTCTCATCGTTGATGTTTCAATCTCTTTCTCCCTCTCCCTTCCTCTCTGAAGTCAATATAAATGTATTTTAAAAATAATTGAAAAAACAATGCTATGCTTCGGGTGCAACACTTCATAATGTTTAGCTTTCGCAAATGGTCTTTCTACTCACTTGTAGAGCTTTGCAAGATCACTCCGATACTTCATGCATATCACAAGGCCTACACTTGGGGGTGGGGGAAGGATTTTTTTCGGAACACAAAAGCAAAGTATGCCAGATAGTTCCTTTGCTTCAACATGTTTTATCTTTGCTGTCCATCAAATGCGTTTGCTAAAAGGCTTGTCCCTGCCCACTTTCTCTCACTGAAGGTGCTTAGGATTAAGATTTTGCTTTCTGGGTTTTAGGGGGTTTTTTTGCTTTCTGATTTTAACTGTGCAATAAATCTTAGATGCAGGTCAAAGAGACAGGGAGTGGGCACAGGCTGCTTCTGCCTGAGGTTGCAGAGTGAGGAAGCTGAGACTCAGGGATGGGGTATAAGAGCAGAGTCCTAATCTCAGAGCAGGGCGCGATAAACAGCTTCATGGCCACCAGCCATGACACGGTAGCTTCTGCTTGTGTTTTAGGGAAAAGAGGCAGCTTCCCAAAGCAGCCAAATGAGAAAGCATTATAGGCCCTGTCTCTGGGGAGTAAGCCATTTGCAGATTTGGAGGCCTGGGTGCTGCAGCTTTTCACTTATTTGAGGTATTTTATTGGACTTTACCATGCTTTACTTTGACCAACCAGAAATAATTTAAAAAAACTACCCCTTGCCCTGGCTGGTTTGGCTCAGTGGATAGAGCGTCAGCCTATGGACTGAAGGGTCTCGGGTTTGATTCCAGTCAAGGGCGGGCTTGAGCCCCAGCATGGGGCATGCAGGAAGCAGCCGATCAATGATTCTCTCTCATCATTGATGTTTCTCTCTCTCTCCCTCTCCCTTCCTCTATGAAATCAATAAAAATATTTTTTTAAAAACTCCCCCTTGACACCAATACCTTTTGGTTACTTCTTTTTTTTTTAATATATTTTATTGATTTTTTACAGAGAAGAAGGGAGAGGGATAGAGAGTTAGAAACATCGATGAGAGAGAAACATCGATCAGCTGCCTCCTGCACACCTCCCACTGGGGATGTGCCCGCAACCTAGGTACATGCCCTTGACCGGAATCAAACCTGGGACCCTTCAGTCCGCAGGCTGACGCTCTATCCACTGAGCTAAACTGGTTTTGGCAGGTTACTTCTTTTTTTTAAAAAAAGTTTTTATTGATTTTCTAAAATGTTTATTTTTTTATTGTTTTTAAAAATATTTTTTATTGATTTCAGAGAGGAAGGGAGAGGGAGATAGAAACATCAATGATGAGAGAGAACCATTGATCAGCTGCCTCCTGTACACCCCACACTGAGGACTGAGCCCACAACCCATGCATGTGCCCTTGGCCAGGAATCAAACCGTGACCTCTGGGATTGTAGGTTGTTGCTCAACCACTGAGCCACTCCAGCCAGACTATATTTATTGATTTTTAGAGAGAGAGGAAGGGAGAGGGAGAGATAGAAACATCAATGAGAAAAAAACATCATCCATTGGCTGCCTCCTGCATGCCCACCTACTGGGGATCAAGCCTGCAGCCAGGGCATGTGCCCCAACCGGGAATCAAACCAGTGACTGCTTGGTTCATGGGTTGATGCTCAACCACTGGGCCACACTAGCTGGGCCTTTTCTAATTTAAATCTTCACCCAAGGATACATTTTTATTGATTTTATTTTTTTAATTTTTTAAAAATAAATTTTTATTGATTGCAGAGAGGAAGGAAGAGGGAGAGAGAGAAGCATCAATGATGAGAGAGAATCATTGATCGGCTGCCTCCTGCACGCCCCCCACTGGGAATCAATGCCACAACCCGGGCATGTGCCCTTGACCGACATCGAACCTGGGACACTTCAGTCCACAGGCCGACGCTCTATCCACTGAACCAAACCAAGAGAGAGGAAGGGAGAGAAACATCAATATGAGAGAGAAACATCGATTGACTGCCTTCTGCAATGACCAGGGTTCGAACCCGCAACCTAGGTATGTGCCCTGACTGGGCATCGAACCTGCAACCTTTTGGTGTATGGGATGACGCTCCAACTACCTGAGCCACCTGGCCAGGGCCACTGATTACTTCTTCCTCTTTCTGCCTCACCACCAACCTCTGGAAGGAGTGGCCACTCCTACTGTCTTCCTTCCCTTCCCCTCCCCAGCCCCCAGAAGCTCCTGTGGCTTTGCTTACTTCCTCTCTGGCCATTGCTTCCTGCTGCCTTGGAGATTGTCTGTCCTTCTGTGCTCTGAGGTGCTGTCCTGGGCCCCTTTCCCTCTGCAATCTCGTCTCTGTTTATGAGTTTGTGGTTGAGTCCCCAGTATCTTTATTCCCAACTGTTCTTTTTTTAAAAAATGTATATATTTTTATTGGTTTCAGAGAGGAAGGGAGAGGGAGAGAGAAACATCAATGATGAGAGAGAATCATTGATTGGCTGCCTCCTGCACACCCCCGACTAGGAATTGAGCCCACAACCTGGGCATGTGCCCTGACCAGGAATCCAACTGTGACCTCCTGGTTCATAGGTCGACGCTCAACTACTGAGCCAGGCCAACTGGGCTACAACCTGCATTTCCTACCCTTATCGACAACCTCTCTAGTGCCTGCCACGTGCGTCTAGAATGCTTTTCCTTTCACATTCGGTTGGGAAATATTCTATTTCCCCAGAGAAAAGAGCAACCTGGATTTGAATCCTGGCTTTGCCACCTCTCGCCCAATGACCTTGGGCCAGCAGCTTAATCCTTCCTTATGTGGAGAATGGGTACCAGAATGGCCCCTACCTCCTGAGGCTCTTCAGAGGTGCCGAGTAGTCATTCAATGTTACACACTTCCCTCCACAAGCAAGTGTGTTTTCCCGGCAGCCTGCAGCACAAGCCACCAGCACCGCAGATAACACACTGCCACCAGTGACTTCTTTTGTTTGTTTGTTAATCCTCACCTGAGGATATTTTCCCATTGATTTTTAGAGAGAGTGGAAGGGAGGGGGAGAGACACGGAGAGAGAAACATCAGTGTGAGAGAGACACATTGATTGGTTGCCTCCCACACGTGCCCCAACCAGGGCTGAGGATCGAGCCTGCAACCGAGTTACCTGCCCTTGACAGGAATTGAACTCAGGACCCTTCAGTCCGTCGTCCTATGCTCTATCCACTGAGCTAAACCGACCAGGGAATGCCTCCTTAACTTCTAATGCCAGAGCCCCAGGTTTGTACAATCCTCAGGCAGGTACAGAGGAGCCAGCACTCCTCTAGCAATGGAGCTGGGCCTCAGGCTAATGGGCAGCGCTCGCTGGCTCCCTGGCCCCCTTCTCCCAGGCTGCCTGTCCCACCTGCGTCCCTCCACCTCCAGTGTTGCCAAGCCAGATGCACAGGCCACCAGGCTCCCTGCTCCAAGCCCAAGCCAGAGAAACCTGCACCGGCCCACCAGCCCCTCCCGGGGGAGTAACTCACCTCGGCAAACAGGCACGCACTTGCCCAGGCTGAAAAAGTGAGAATGCAGCTCCTTGGTGAAACAGATGTCTGCAGCTGCGGGGGTCCTGGAGTGGGGACAGCCACAGTCATGCCCGCCTCCTCTGCGCCCTGCTTCTCCACCCTGCCCCCCCCCAGCGTGACGCTTGGCACCGTCAGCGATGTGAAATGTAGGCACAGAGGACCTGCAGCGCCCCACCCCATGCCCTGCCTGGGCTGCTGGATGCCGCCTCCTGGTCAGAGCAGGAGGAAGGCAAATCTGGGCAGAGACGGGTGAGTCCTGCCGGGCCCATTGGGAGGGGCTCATTCCTCCTCACCAACGCATCAACTTCAGGTTCCAGATGTGGCGGAGTTTCAGGATCCCTGGAGAAGAGGAAAGCTTTCATGCCTCAACTTACCTTGTTCCCGGGGAGCACCTTTTTCTGTCACCCCACTTCAGGGAATGAGGGACAAGGGTAGCAGCACTACCATTTCCCAGTGGCCCAAAGTGGCATCTTCTGGACCCTTGGACCGGACCCCCAAGTTCTTGCTGGCTCCTTGCTCTGCCCCACTCCCCATGTTTTATTAGTCACCATGTCTGGTCTGCCTACTTCCCCAATATATTTTGATGCTGCCTATTCTATATCTCTCTCTCCAGTTTCACCACTACCACCTTAGTCCAGGCTACTGGAATGCTCTCCAGCAGTCGCCAACCTTCCTGCCCAGCTGGAGTGTCTCAGGGGTTGAGCGTCAACTGTGAACCAGAAGGTCATGGTTTGATTCCCAGTCAAGGGCACATGCCCCGGTTGCAGGCTCAGTCCCTGTGTGGGATGTTAAGGAGACAGCCGACTGATGATTCTCTCTCATCATTGATGTTTCTATCTCTCTCTTCCTCTCTGAAATAAATTCAAATATATGTAATTTTTAAAAGCCTCCTGGGATCTGGTGGTGGCACTCACAGACCATTCTCTGCCCAGCAGCCAGGATGAGTTCTGAAAGGCTGATTTTACCAGGTGGTTGCCCCTGAGCAGTGGTCAGCAAACTCATTAGTCAACAGAGCCAAATATCAACAGTACTTCTTCAAAATAGACTCGCCCAGGCTGAAAGCCAACTTCTGCGCATGGGCCATGAAGTTTCAATCGCAGTGTACGTGCGCGCCCGCACGTGGTATTTTGTGGAAGAGCCACACTCAAGGGGCCAAAGAGCCGCATGTGGCTCACGAGCCGCAGTTTGCTGACCATGGCCCCTGAGCTGTAGGAGAGTCTAACCTGCATTCAGCAGTGAAAGCTCTGGACACCCCCGCACCCAGCCATCCAGGTTATTGCAGCCAAGCAAGTCCCTGTGAAGTCAGTAGGGCAGGAACTTGTAGGTGGGGAACTGGGCTCCCAAATAAGGTTGGCTGAAGGGTACAAACCCAGCCTGGGGCAAACCTGGAACCAGGATACAGGTCTCTCGGATCTCTCAGCCCCTAACCCAGAGTTTCCTTGACGGGTCCTCGGATTTGTTCCCAAGACTCCAAGACTCTGTGGGACCTTCCACGATTTAGAAAACAGGTTCCACAGGCCTGCTGCAACAGAGTAAATGGTCAGACCTTGCCCTGTGGCCATTTCCTCGCTTCCTCCTTCCCTCCAAACTTCTGAGGCCCTCTCCAAATCACCTTCCCTGAGAGGATGCTGGAGGGGTCACACTGGGGCTGGATGCCCCGGAAACAGTAGTCCCAGAGCTCTGAAGAGCCCAGTGGCAAGTGAGTTTGTTCTGCTTCTGTTTGGCCCTTTCCGGGGTTCTCTCCCTGCCTCCCTGCGCCCAGCACACTGGCCCGTGTACCCCAGAGATGAGGGTCATCCATGCAGGACTGGTGATTGGAGACCGTGATGAGGGGCGTGGCTGGGCCGCGGTTCTCGATGAGCTCATACAGCACTTCCTTGTTGTGGACGGTGAGGCGGTTCATGCACTCTGGTGGGGACAGAAAGAGCGTGGGGGTCTTGGCCTCCTTCTCCCCTGAGGCCCAGGGCTCCCCCCAAGCCAAGCCCACTCACTGGTCCAGAAGCAGCTGTAGGTGCCCACCAGGCCCATGACGACGCTGCTGGCCAGGGTCCAGGCGACCGGCGGCACGGCGGGGAAAGGCCATTTCACATGGAGGGGCATCCCTCCCGCCCCACAGCTCCCGGCGGCCCGGCACTTCCCCTGCTACGGGGCAGCTGGTGGCGTGTCCTCAATCGCCCCACAGCCGGGTCCCTAACAGGCCGACGCCAACAACGCGCGCCGCGGCGCAGCGCGACAGGGGACTCGAACAAGGTCACCTCGCGGGGCGGGCCAGAGGCCGCCCGGCCCCCCCTCGCCACCGACCAGCCCACCGTGATCAGGAGTCGGGGATCGCGGTGAGGAACGACAGGAGTCGGAGCTGAGAACCGCGCGCCCCACGCCCACCCGGGGAAAAGCGAGCCGGTCCAGGCCCCACGTTCCACCGCCGCCTGTCGCAAACGCGCCCGGGCTGCTTGACGGCAGCGGGGCACCTCCCCCGACCCCGCCCGGCCCAGCGCAGCCTCAGTGCCTGGCGCCCGCCTGCTGCGAGGCCCTTTTGTCTCAATTTGTCCCCAGAAAAATCGTGGGTTGCACAGCGGGATTACCTGACACCACTCAAATTCGGGGCTAGCAGAGCACTTCTACTTTAGTATCCCCCCCCCTTTATTTCTTTTTATTTATTTTTTTTGTCTAAATGTCTCCTTTTTCCCCAATTGACCCCCTCCCCCAGCTCTTACCAGCCCGGGCAAGCCCCCACCTCCCCAGTGTCTGTGTCCATTGCCCCCCCCCCTTTATTTTTATTGAGGTAGAATTCATACAACATAAAATTAAACCATTTATGGTATTTTATAATATTTAAAATTGTGTATTCTATGTATACAACATACACGTTGTTACATATGTGCTCCTACATAATTACAGTATTACAGATACTTGTATACATGTATCTGATATATAATGTAACATGTGATGTAACATTTATGTAGCAATATATACATAGCATATCACTTGATACATTTGCAGTGTTGTCAACCACCATGTCTAACTAGTTCCAAAACATGTTCATCGCCCCCAAAGCCCTGTACCCCTCAAGAGGTCTCTCTTTTATTTTAAATCATGCTTTTTTTTTATTTAAAATTTTTTTGCCAACCTGCCCATCACCACCCCTAATCCTGGCAACGGCGACACTATCCTGATGACCGCTCCACAACCAGCCAATGCAGACCCACCTCCTACCCTAGACGTCGCGACCGAGTCCCCCAGTTGTCCCAACAGAGACAGTGCCGGCCCCCACGCGATACTGAGCTGCCAGCTCTCGAATCCCCTTCTCCCAGGGACAGTTCTCAGTCCGCTCTGAGCAGCCACAGTGGACCCGGGCGTAGGACGTGGAGAGAAAGCTCTTGCGCCCTTACGTCGAGCATGAGCTCCAGCCTTTGCATCTTCCCTCCCCAGATGCTGCCTGGGAAAGTCCAGAGGCTGAGCGCCGGGCCTGGGAGAATGCAAAGGGGTTTGCACTCAGGCGCCAGCTGTTCGCCGCTCTCAGCACAGGCAACCATTCTTTAACCAGCTGCTGCCGCTTGATCTCTGTGACTCACAGGTCTGACATCTGCCTGCAGCCCGGGGCCTCCGCCCCCCCCCCGCTCGGTCCCACGCCCGCAGCTGGAAGGCGGGGCCTGGTGGGAAAGTGGGCGGGCTGGTCCGCTGTCCGCAGGGGAGGCGCCTGCCCTACTTGCTGGGCGGGGCAGGGACCAGGCAGGCCGGGGCCTGGATGAGTGGGGTGGAACCGCATCCTGTTCCTCTTCTCTCCGGTCCCCGTCAGGCAGCTGCTGCGATTCCGTGGGGTGTCTCGATCCACTTACAGCCGAGGCAGGTGTGTAGACAAGCTGGTCTGCGCAGGTATGGAAGCCCTTTGGGCAGAGGGAGGGACAAAGTTGCCACCCACCTTAGAGGTGGGGGTAGTGAGAGGGGAAGGGAACCCCAAGGCTAGGGCCAAGGCCAAGTGTTGGGAGCCCAGGCTGGGCTTTGGGCTGAGGCCAGGTACAGTCACTCTGGTTCTTCTTGTCCTGGACCCTCCGGGGGGCCCCTAGCCCTGGAGCCTCCAAGCTGCCCTTGCCAGCCCAGGGCTGCCTAACACACACATCCATCCCAAAATAGGCACCAGGGCGGGAGACCCAAACTAGCATGAGTGACAGAGCAGGTGACAAGGGAGGAACAGGCACCATGCCCAGCCAGGAGAGCGCAGATATGCAGAGAAGCCATGAGAGATGAACAGACAAGAGAGGCCAAGAACAACAGAGGCAGGAAGAGCCTGAGAGAGGCAGAAAGTGAGCCCCAGGAGAAGGGTGACAAGATGACAGAGGAGAGCAGGCAGACAGAAGTAGAGGGACTTATGATGTCACTGAATGAGAGCCACATGGACAGGGTGGATCAAGGAGCTGAACCCGAAAGAGCAAAGTCTGGGTGAGTCTAGGACAAAAATAAACGGAGACCCACAGGAAGAAGAGGGCTCCAGCTGATAAGACGAACAAGAGGGGCTCACCAATGATGTGGGGCATGGGAAAGGGGCCATCACACACTGCAGTGGGGTGATTTGGTGGGGTGATTGGTGTATCTGAGATCATTTAATTTTATGTTTAATATGTTCTTATTGATTTCAGAGAGGAAGGGAGAGGGAGAGATAGAAACATCAATGATGAGAGAGAATCATGGATTGGCTGCCTCCTGCACACCCCATGCTGGGGATAGAGCCCACAACCCGGGCATGTGCGCTTGACTGGAATTGAACCTGGGACCATTCAGTCCGCAGGCCGACGCTTTATCCACTGAGCCAAACCGGCTTGGGCATAGCTGAATGAACAGAAAGCAGAAGCTCATGAGAACCTAACCGTCACTTTTTTAAAAATATATTTTATTGATTTTTTACAGAGAGGAAGGGAGAAGGATAGAGAGTTTGAAACATCGATGAGAGAGAAACATCAATCAGCTGCCTCCTGCACAGCCCCTACTGAGGATGTGCCCGCAACCAAGGTACATGCCCTTGACCGGAATCGAACCTGGGACCCTTCAGTCCACAGGCCGACGCTCTATCCATGGAGCCAAACCGGTTAGGGTGTAACCGTCATTTTAAAAATCAATTTCTAATGCTTTTATGAATTATAATAAAGGTAACTATATACTTAAAAAAAATCTCAGAAGTGGAGAGGGAGAGATTTGTGAAGATGGCCCTCGTACTGGTGGTGAAAAGCTGGGGTCAACCAGCTGCTGGGACTGGAAGCTGGTGCCGACAGCAGGGCACTTCCTCAACTAATTAAACAGAGCTCCCATAAGGCTCAGCAATTCCACTTCTGGGTACAGGCCCAAAAGAACTGAAAGGAGGAACCTGAAAGATATTTGTATTCCCATGTTTGTAGCAGCATCGCTCACAGTAGCCAAAAGATGGTCGCAACCCACGTGTCCGTTCATAGAGGAATGGGTGGGCAACACGTGGTCGGTCCGTACAGTGGAATATAGCCTGAACCAGGAAGGAGATTTTGTCTGCCGCCACACCATCCTGAACACGCCTGACCTTCTGATCTGGCCTGACCTTCTAAGCTAAGCAGGGTCAGGCCTGGTTAGTAGTTGGATAGGAGAATACCGGGTGCTGTGGGCTTAAAAAAACAGAACAGGAGGGAAATTTTGACACCCATTACAACATGGATGAGCCTTGAGAACATTATACTATGTGAAAGAAGCCGGACACAAAAGGACAATGATTTCATTCTGTGAGGTCCCTGGGGTAGGGAAGCTCATAGAGGCAGAAAGTAGGGTGGCTGGGGCCAGGGCTCTGGAGGGGAAATGGGGGGTTAGTGTTTAATGTGGACAGAGTTTCTGTTTAGAAGATGAAAAAGTTCTGGGGATGGAGGGTGGTGATCGTTGCACAATGTGGGTGTATTTGACGCCACTAAACTGGTTAAGATGCTCAATTCCATGCTGTGTGTATTTTGTCACCATTAAGAGCATGAGGCTGAGCCATATGTGCCCACATCAGGTGTCCACAGGGAGAAGAGGCAGGAATCGTCCAGGCTGGCAGCTCTGGGGGCTGGTGCTGGGCAGCAGGCTGAGCATCCCTTTCTCTGTCCAGAACCCCAGGTCCTCCTGAAACCACAAGCAGGCCCAGCTAGGACTCCACCCTGGGGCGGCCTGGATTCCTGCAGAGGATCCCAGCAGCCCAAACACAGCCATGCGCTGCCCAGCTGTGCTCCTGCTCCTGGTGGGCGTGGCCCAGGCCTTTCGCATCTGTGCCTTCAACGCCCAGAGGCTGACGCTTAGCAAGGTGGCCAGGGAGGACGTGTTGGACCCTTTAGTTCGGGTAAGTTCATCACTGTAGGGAAGCTGCACTCCTGAGGACCAGGAGCCAAAGCCCCCACCCAGCCCTACCTGACCTGGGGCATGTCCCAGAGAAGGAGACATCGAGAAAGCCTGGCTGGCGTGGCTCCGTGGTTGAGCGTCGACCTATGAACCAGGAGGTCCAATTCGATTCCCGGTCAGGGCACATGCCCCGGTTCCGGGCTCGATCCCTGGTGGAGGTCACACAGGAGGCAGCCGATCAATGATTCTCTCATCATCGATTTTTCTGTCTCCCTCTCTCTTCCGCTCTGAAATCAATAAAAACATATATTTTAAAAAGGGACATCAAGAAACACAGGTGCAGAGACATGGAGCACATTCCTCCCGTCACTGGCCTGCGCCTCTTCCTCTGTAAAATGGGTGCAGTGAGGGTGGCCACGGCATTCAGCTTTCTCCCAGGTCTTTTTGTTTGTTTGTGTAACATATTTTTATTGATTTCAGAGAGGAAGGGAGAGGGAGAGAGAGATAGAAGCATCCATGATGAGAGAAAATCATTGATTGGCTGCCTCCTACACACCCCACACTGGAGATCGAGCCCGCAACCAGGCATGTGCCCTGACCAGGAATCCAACCATGACCTCCTGGTTCATAGGTCAACACTCAACCATTGAGCCACCCTGGCCGGACCCACCCAAGTCTTTCCTAGGCCCACTGCTCTGTGGGCCACAGCCAGCACGCCATGCCACTTGTGCCCACATCAGTGGCCAGTGCCAGTTTCTCAGGGGCTCCTGGCACTGAGTGGGGCCGGCCTTGCTGGTGTCCTACAGATCCTGGCTCGCTGTGACATCACGGTGCTGCAGGAGCTGGTGGACTCTTCTGGCAGCGCCCTCTACCTCCTGCTCCGAGAACTCAATCGGTGAGCCGGGGCTCTGTGGGTCTAATCTGGGGCCCCCTGGAGCCTCAGGGTCCCTGACGCTGGGCTCCCCTTTCCTGGCAGATTTGATGACTCTGGGCCCTACAGCTCCCTGAGCAGCCCCTTCCTGGGGCGCAGCACATACATGGAGAAGTACGTGTACATCTACAGGTAGGCACACACGGTGGCCAGGGCGGACTTGGCACTTGGCCCGCTGTGAGATGGCTGAGTAGTCCCAGATCCCTTCCTCACAGGGCATCCTTCACCTTCTCTCACACTTCTTCTCCTGGGCCCTTTTATTCTGGGCTCTGCCTCTCCTCTAGCCTTGCCAGCTTCGGTGTTCACCTGCCTTCTCCACGCACAGATGCCAGGCCCCTCTGCCTCTCCCGTGGAAGCCACGGGGGCTCTGGGCGTGTCTTGCCCCATTTGGGAGTGGCTGGCTGCAGCTTCTGGGAAGAGGCTCAAGCAGGGCCTGTCGTGGGCCTCCAGTGGACACGGGCTCCAGAAACAGCCCTCAGATCCTGGGAGGACAGCCTCGGGGGAGCCTTTGTGGCCAGGATCGAGAGGGCAAGGGGGACTGCCAGGGAAGGAGACCTATTTTTTTTTTCTTAAATATTTCTTATATGTTTTTATTGGTTTCAGAGAGAGGAAGGGAGAGAGAGATAGAAACATCAATAATGAGAGAGAATCATTCATCGCTGCCTCCTGCACGCCCCACACTGAGGATCGAGCCCACAACCTGGGCATGTGCCCTGACCAGGAATCGAACCGTGACTTCCTGGTTCGTAGGTCGATGCTCAACCACTGAGCCACATCAGCTGAGCACCTATTTTTTTTTATATATATATGTGGAAGTATATAATGTCTAGAATTCACTCCAAAATAATGGAGGAGCCCAGCTGGCATGGCTCAGTGGTTGAGCATCGACCTATGAACCAGGAAGTCACGGTTCAATTCCCGATCAGGGCACATGCCTGGGTTGTGGGCTCTATTCCCAGTGTGGAGCATGCAGGAGGCAGCCAATCAATGATTCTCTCTCATCATTGATGTTTCTATCTCTCCCTCTCCCTTCCTCTCTGAAACCAATAAAAATATATTTTAAAAATAATAATGACGGAACAATGTCCACACAGAAATGCTTATAGCAGCATCACTCATAACACCTCAAAGTGGAAATGACCCAAGTGTCCATCAGCTGATGGCTGGACAAATAAAAGGTGGTCTCTCTCCAACAGAATATGATTCAGACATGAAATACTGGCCCATGCTCCAACATGGGTGAACCTTGGAAACGATGCTAAGGGAAAGAAGCCAGATACAGAAGATCATATATTATTTTTTTATTTTTTTAAAATATATTTCTTTATTGATTTCAGAGAGGAAGGGAGAAGGAGAGAGAGATAGAAACATCAGTGATGAGAGAGAATCATTAATTGGCTGCCTCCTGCACACCCACTACTGGGGAACGAGCCCGCAACCCAGGCATGTGCTCTTGGCCGGAATCGAACGTGGGACCCTTCAGTCCGCAGGCTGACGCTCTATACACTGAGCCAAGTCAGCTAGGGAGCATATTATTATTTTTTAAAAATATCTTTTTTTATTGATTTTAGAGAGGGGGGAAGGGAGAATGAGACAAAGAGAAACATCAATCAGTTGCCTCCTGCATGCCCCACACTGGGTATCGAGACCTAAACCCAGGCATGTGCCCTGATCAGGAATCAAACCAGCAACCTCTTGGTGCATGGGATGATGGTCAACCACTGAGCCACACTGGCCAGGGCAAGACCACATATGATTTGATTACATTCACACAGAATGTCCAGAATAGGCAAATCCAGAGATAGAAAATAGGTGAGTGGCTGCCAGCGGTTCTGGGAGAGGAGAATGGTAAGTGGATGCTAATGGATACAGTTTCTTTTTTAACAATGTTTAACAATGTTTTAAAATTGATTGTGGTGATGGTTCTACAACCTTGTGAGTGTAACAAACGCCACTGGAATTTTATGGTATGTGAATTTTTTAAAAGCTATTTTATTGGCCGAAACCAGTTTGGCTCAGTGGATAGAGCGTCGGCCTGCGGACTGAAAGGTCCCAGGTTTGATTCCAGTCAAGAGCATGTACCTGGGTTGCGGGCATGTCCCCAGTGGGAGATGTGCAGGAGGCAGCTGATCGATGTTTCTCTCTCATCCATGTTTCTAGCTCTCTATCCCTCTCCCTTCCTCTCTGTAAAAATTCAATAAAATATATATTTTTTAAAAAAAATAGATATTTTATTGATTTCAGAAAGGAAGGGAGAGGGAGAAATAGAAATATCAATCATGAGAGTCATTGATCTGCTGCCTCCTTCACACCCCCTACTGGGAATCAAGCCCGCAACCAGGAATCGGACCTGGTTCATAGGTCAACACTCAACCATTGAGCCACATGGGCCGGGCTTATGGTTTGTGAATTTTCTCTCAATAAAATTCTAGAAAAAAAGGCTAGGAAGAGGGGAAAAAGGGGCTAGGAAGACTGTGGCCATATGGAACAGAGCTGCTGGCAGAGGCCCCCTCCCTGAGTGCCAGCTCTGATGTTGGCACTTGCAAACCAGAATCAGTGATGTGGGACCACTGCTTCCCATCCCTCGGTCCCCCAGGTCACACAAGATGGAGGTCCAGGATTCCTACCTGTACAATGACAAGGACGACCTCTTTGCCCGGGAGCCCTTTGTGGCCAAGTTCACATTGCCCAGCAAGGGTAAGAGGGGAAGCAGGCTGGCCCTGCTGTGGGGCAGTGGGAAGGGGGGCTGGCTGGCTCTGCTGGGGGCTCGGTCACCCAGAGGGGGCTGCGTGTAGAAGAACCAGGAGTGGGTGGGAGCCCTCCATCCCTGGGGCCTTACAGACCTTCCCAGCTTGGTGTTGGTCCCCCTACACACCACTCCGAAGGCCGTGGAGCAGGAGCTGAACGCCCTGTATGACGTGTTTCTGGATGCCTCCCGGCGCTGGAAGAGCGAGGTAGGAGCCCTAGCCGGTTTGGCTCAGTGGATAGAGCATCAGCCTGCGGACTGAAAGGTCCCGGGTTCGATTCCAGCCAAGGGCATGTATCTTGGTTGCGGGCACATCCCCAGTAGGGAGTGTGCAGGAGGCAGCTGATCGATGTTTCTCTCTCATCGATGTTTCTAACTCTCTATCCCTCTCCCTTCCTCACTGTAAAAAATCAGTAACATTTATTTAATAATAATAAAAAAAGAAGGGCGAGGTAGGGCTGGGCAGGTTGCATGGGAGAGAGGGGGACTGGATGGCGTGGTGGCCTGACACAACTCCTGCGCCTTCTCCAGGACATAATCCTGCTGGGGGACTTCAATGCTGACTGTAATTCACTGGCCAAAAAGCGCCTGGAGGAGCTGATACTGCGGACTCAGGCCGACTTCTACTGGGCGATCGCCGATGGCGAGGACACCACGGTGCGCGCCAGCACCAACTGCGCCTATGACCGCATCGTGGTGCACGGGAAGCGCTTCCGGAGGCTGTTGCATACAGCTGCTGCCTTCAATTTCCCCCGGAGCTTCCGGCTCACCGAGGAGGAGGTAAAACGAGGCAGCGGGAATGGCCACGGGGAAGTCCCTTGACCCTGACACTGTCCTTCTGTCCACCCCAGGCTCTCAACATCAGTGACCACTACCCCGTGGAGGTGGAGCTGAGCCTCAGCCTGAGCCTGAGCCGGGCGGGGCATGGGACCCGGCCCCTCAGCCTGGCCACTCTGTTGCTGTCCCCGCTGCTGCTGCTGCTCCTGCCCCCACAGCTGGGCCTGGGGGCGTGAACCTCACCCACCCTGACGTCTGCTGCCCGCAGAGGTGATGACTGACTACACTGCCCTCAGGACTCAAACCCTAGCCTCTCCTGGCCCTCTGCCCGGCGGCCAAAGCGACTCGTGAAGGGCTTCAACTGCAGCCCAGCCTGGTCCTGCCCAGCCCTGCCCTTCCTTGCTCTGCCCAGCCCAGCCCTGCCCAGTCCTGCCCAATCCGGTCCTGCCCAGCCCTGCCCAGTCCTGCCCAATCCGGTCCTGCCCAGCCCTGCCCTATTGGACTGCAGCCCTCTGCCTTTTCTTTGGTTGGGCTTGTGTTCTTTTGCTGGGCCTGTGCCTGGCATGAGAGTGTATAAGAGGAAGGCAGGGGCCTCGAGGCTGGGGGAGGGGAAAGGGGCTTAGAAAAGGGAATCACAACATATGAAAAATTATGACAAAAAGGAAACACATACAAACTGAGAACGAAAAGCTAGATAGGAGGGACACTACACGTGTGGAACAGATCTGTCACTGGGCCACCTGTATTGTACATGGGATTCACGTGAATCAGCGTGAAGATCCCAGTAGATACAAAAATGGAGATAAGTACTTCACACACACACACACACACACACACACACACGAAAAAATGGCTGATGCACTGAAACTCGTGTGATCTAATGAAAATAGCTGCAAACACACCCAACGCCTGTGGCGAAGCCCATGAACCGCAGTCAGTCCATGTAGAGTGTGGCCCCAGGCAGAGTGGTTACTAAGGCTACGGATGCACAGAACATATATGAACCGGCTGTCATGTAATAGCTTTAACTGTAAGAAACTCTGTTTTTTTAAGCATGATGTTTGCTTTGTGAAACAGTTGTATTAAATGATGGTCACTGTGTTACATGCCCGCAAATGGGACACGCAGGTTTCCTTGGGGTGTGTTAGGACAGTCCCTCGGTGTGGGAGGGCGTGCACAGGTCACCTGCAAAGGACATGAGGTCAGAGAGGGACCTGGCTAACTCCAGAACCGCTCCATTTTCCAGAGAACAGAGGTCAGTAAAAGCAGCTAGTGCCCTGGCTGGGTAGCTCAGTTGGTTAGAGTATCATCCTACGCCAAGGTTGCGGGTTTGATCCCCGCCCGGTCAGGGCATATACAAGAATCAACCAATGATTGCATAATTAAGTGGAACAGTAAATCAAGGTTTCTCTCTCAAATCAATAAAAAATTTTAAAAACAGCCTGTTTGGTGTGGCTCAGTGGTTGAGTTTCAACCTATGAACCAGGAGGTCATGGTTTGATTCCCAGTCAGGACACAGGCCTGGGTTGTGGGCTCAATCCTCAGTAGCGGATGTGCAGGAGGCAGCCAATCAATGGTTCTCTATTACCATTGATGTTTCTATTTCTCCCTCTCCCTTCCTCTCTCTCTCTCTCAAACCAATAAAAATATATTTAAAAAAATAATAAAAACGGTAAAATCTGAGAAGTGGAGCGGGAAAAAAAAAAGCCCAGCCGGGGTGGCTCAGTGGTTGAGTGATGACCTATGAACCAGGAGGTCATGGTTTGATTCCAGATCAGAGTACATGCCCGGGTTGCGTGCTGAATTCCCAGTGTGGGCATGCAGTAGGCAGCCAATCAGCTATTCTCTCTCATCCTTGATGTTTCTCTCTCTCTTTTCCTCTCTGAAATCAATGAAAAAATATTTTTTAAAAAAAAGGAGTGGAGCAAGATATTTGTGAAGATGGCCCTCGTACTGGTGGTGAAAAGCTGGGGTCAACCAGCTGCTGGGACTGGAAGCTGGTGCCGCCGCTATGGAAGACGGCAGGGCACTTCCTCAACTAATTAAACAGAGCTCCCATAAGGCTCAGCAATTCCACTTCTGGGTACAGGCCCAAAAGAACTGAAAGGAGGAACCTGAAAGATATTTGTACTCCCATGTTTGTAGCAGCATCGCTCACAGTAGCCAAAAGATGGTCGCAACCCACGTGTCCGTTCATAGAGGAATGGGTGGGCAACACGTGGTCGGTCCGTACAGTGGAATATAGCCTGAACCAGGAAGGAGATTTTGTGTGCCGCCACACCATCCTGAACACGCCTGACCTGATCTGGCCTGACCTTCTAAGCTAAGCAGGGTCAGGCCTGGTTAGTAGTTGGATAGGAGAATACCGGGTGCTGTGGGCTTAAAAAAACAGAACAGGAGGGAAATTTTGACACCCATTACAACATGGATGAACCTTGAGAACATTATACTATGTGAAAGAAGCCGGACACAAAAGGACAATGATTTCATTCTGTGAGGTCCCTGGGGTAGGGAAGCTCATAGAGGCAGAAAGTAGGGTGGCTGGTGCCAGGGCTCTGGAGGGGAAATGGGGGGGTTAGTGTTTAATGTGGACAGAGTTTCTGTTTAGAAGATGAAAAAGTTGCCCTAACCGGTTTGGCTCAGTGGATAGAGCGTCAGCCTGCGGACTCAAGGGTCCCAGGTTTGATTCCGGTCAGGGGCATGTACCTTGGTTGCAGGCACATCCCCAGTGGGGTGTGTGCAGGAGGCAGCTGATCGATGTTTCTCTCTCATCAATGTTTCTAACTCTCTATCCCTCTCCCTTCCTCTCTGTAAAAAAATGAATAAAATGCATTTTAAAAAAAAAAAAGAAGATGAAAAAGTTCTGGGGATGGAGGGTGGTGATGGTTGCACAATGTGGGTGTATTTGACGCCACTAAACTGCTTAAGATGCTCAATTCCATGCTGTGTGTATTTTGTCACCATTAAGAGCATGAGGCCGAGCCATATGTGCCCACATCAGGTGTCCACAGGGAGAAGAGGCAGGAATCATCCAGGCTGGCAGCTCTGGGGGCTGGTGCTGGGCAGCAGGCTGAGCATCCCTTTCTCTGTCCAGAACCCCAGGTCCTCCTGAAACCATAAGCAGGCCCAGCTAGGACTCCACCCTGGGGCGACCTGGATTCCTGCCCAGCTGTGCTCCTGGCTCCTGGTTGGGGTGGCTGAGGCCTTTTGCATCTGTGCCTTCAGTGCCCAGAGGCTGACGCTTGGCAAGGTGGCCAGGGAGGACGTGATGTCTGCCTTAGTTCTGGTAGGTTTGTCACTGTAGGGAAGCTTCACTCGAGGATCTCAAGCCAAAACCCCCAGCCTTATCTGACCCGGGGGAATGTCCCAGAGAAGGGGATATCAAAAGACACGGCTGCAGAGACATGGAGCAAGTTCCTCCTGTCATTGGCCTGAGTCCCTTCCTCTGTGAAATGGGTGCAGTGTGGGTGGGGACAGCACCGTTTTCTCCCAGGTCTTTTTTTAAAAATATATTTTTTAATTGATTTCAGAGGAAGGGAGAGAACCATCAATGAGAATCATTCATCGGCTGCCTCCTGGACACCCCCACTGGGGATTAAGCCCACAACCCGGGTATGCACCCTTGACTGGAATCAAACCCAAGAGCCTCAGTCTGCAGGCCGATGCTCTACCCACTGAGCCAAACCAGCTAGGGCTCCCAGGTCTTTTCTGGTCCCATGCTCTGCAGGCCAGTCAGCACACCATGCCACTATTGCTCAGTGGCCAGTGCGTTTCTCAGGGACTCCCCCCACCCCTCCCGGGCAGCTATCACTGAGTGGGGCTGGCCTTCCTGGTGTTCTGCAGATCCTGGGTGCAGCCCCAGGGAGAGCGTTTACCAAGGATACAGATGCAGAAAATACATGAGCCAGCTCTGATGTAACAAATTGTTGCAACTGTAACAAGTTCTAAACTTAAGTATTTTGCTTTGTGACAATGTGAGGGCATGAACAGGATACAGGTCAGAGAAGGGCCTAACTCCAGAACGGTTCCATTTTCCAGAGAACAGAGTGCAGTAAAAACATAGAGCCCTGGCCAGGGAGTCCAAATGGTTAGAGCATCGTCCCACTATGCCAAGATTGTGGGTTTGATAGCTGGCCAGGGCACCAGTAAAAATCAACCAGTGAATGCTTGGATGAGTAGAGCAATCAATTGATATGCCTCTTAAAAATTCAATAAAAATTAGAACAGCTACCAAGACATTAGGGGCATTAAGTGCAAGTTTACGGCTGGGGCTGCACACTATTTGCCCAAAAGCCAGCTGTTGCCAACCCCTGTGGCACATTTCGAAGGGGGCAAACTGGAGGACCTGTTAAAACATGGCTGTGACCACCCCCAGAGGGATCCACTCTCCCCATTGCGTGACGCTACTGACGAGCAAAGATTCCATACCAGTGCAAGGGCCATCTGAAGTCACAAGTCCTTTATCAGGACCCGTGGGAAGGGCACTTTATAAAGGCAGCATTCGAGGCATTAGGACTTAACCATGACCTGAGGCTTCGAACCTACAAACCCTGGTCTAGGCAGGTGGAAGGCAATGTCCTATCTGGGCTGCTGTGCTGGGCTTATTTGTTCCCTGGCCCTGATCTGCTGTCAGCCTTTTCCCGGAGGACAAAGGACTGATCCTGGGGTTCCCAGAGGCTCCCCCACCCCCCATGAATCCAGATGCAAAGATATGGCTGAAAAATTGATTTATTGGTGGGTGTAAGGTGGGGGCAGCACTGAGACTCTCATGAGTGCAGGGCTCGCCATTTGTCCAGGGGACCACGATTAGGGATGTATTTGACCCCACAGCCATCTGGGATGAGGCGCTTCTCGGCCACCATGTCTTCAAACTCATCCGCATTAAACTTAGTAAAGCCCCACTTCTTGGAGATGTGGATCTGGGGAAAAAACAAAGAATTGAGTTTACATATTTGGGGACTGGGGGCAAGGAAAGGAGGGATCAAGGTTATGGCACTTGTTACCTTCTGGCGGCCAGGGAACTTGAACTTGGCTCTTCGTAGGGCCTCAATCACGTGCTCCTTGTTCTGCAGCTTGGTGCGGATGGACATGATGACTTGGCCAATGTGGACTCTGGCCACTGTGCCTTGGGGCTTTCCAAAGGCACCCCGCATACCTGTTTGGAGCCTAGATTGGGGACAGCATGAGTTCAGACACGAGTGTCCACCAGAAAGGGCTGTATCCAAGGTCCCTTAAGGCAACCCATACTAAGCAACGGGTTGCGTACACTACCAAGGATGCTGCTGTTTGCAGCCATTGCACACCAGGCCCCCATGGGGAACAGAGCATGGTCGGCTTAATTGGCTGCAGCGAACCCCAAAACAGACTCCACAGAATCCCTGCCAAGGTGCCCCCCGTGCTCATCTGAAAGCCCTCCAACATGCAACTGCCCACGATATCTTGCCAGCCATTAAGCTGGCTTTGCCATAGATGGATGAGTCTTTATGTGGGGCCATCTCTTTGCTCTACTACTATAATCAAGCTCAACAGAGACCTTCAAGTTATGTGAAAACCCCCCAGCTCACCTGTCAGCCCCAGCACAGGACAACATCTTATTGATGCGGATGACGTGGAAGGGGTGGAGCCGCACTCGGATGTGAAAGCCATCTTTGCCACAACTTTTCACCATGTACTTGTTGGCACAAATACGGGCAGCCTCCAGGGCTAGATGAGGGGAAGGAAGGCAGCAGAGTAAGCATGGCACAGCACTCACCATGGCTCACAATTGGGTGTTCATGACTAAGGAACGGGAACTGGTAATTCCAGTACCGTGAGCTCCGGATTTGGCTGGGGGAGCGCGTAGGAATAGGTATGATTAACCAGGAATCCTGCACCTCACCTTCGGAGGAGAGCTGCTCATATTCGTCTGACACCATGTGGCCACAGAGTGGGAACTCATCCACTTTCGCCTTTTTCCGCCCCAGGTCAAAGATGCGGATCTTGGCATCTGAAAAAATGCTTGGGTCAGTTGTATGTGGGGTGCCCTCGACAACTGAGTCAGTGCAGCCAAACCAGTTGGGGAGCTCTTCTGCGACTTACCAGGGACACCTCGGCAGAAGCGAGACTTTGGGTACGGCTTGTTCTTACAATACCGGTAACTGCGGAGGGGGAGGGGGAGAAACCCAGGTTTGCAGGGATTCACAAGTTAACTGGTCAATAGGCACTTCAGTGCTCCCTCCACGACTGAAGGAGGGGATGGCACAAGCCAATCGGTAAGCTGCCTCCATGTCTGGCGTGGCGCTAAAGCAAGACAGTCACAACTAGGTGGCCAAAAGTTATTAGAGGACAACCATGTAGGCAAAAATCTTTCTTGACCTCTTACTGGGTTTTCAATTTCTTACAAGGCCAATCCTTTGAAACAGACTCTCCCAGTTAAAAAACACCTCTCACTTCCAGACACTGTATATTTGCTGCATAAAAGTAGCACAGTTCATGCCATCCACATGGACTTCTGGGCACGTGGCATTTGGCTTCCAAGCCGCGTGAAGGATTCCGACGCCCTCTGCAGGCCACACAAGACTTGGGCTCTCAGGACACCCAGCCCGGAAATAAGGGAAAGGCACACAAAGGCCCAGAAGGCACTGAGCCTTCAAAAGGCGGCCAATTCCCAGGACAAAGGGCGGGATGCAAGGCAGACGTCGCTTCCAGCCTGAAACTGGCTCGGAAATGCAGGAAAGGGTCAACACAACACCCCAATAAAATTGTGGAAGCGCTTAAAGATCGGCATTACGTTTTAAATTAAAGAACCACATGATCTAAACGAAGACCTAAAGCGATCCGGAAGGTATAGGGGAGAACGATGGAGTCTATTCCCAAAATAGGGAAAGCTGTCTGTACTAGGGAGGCTCCACCCCACGATTGTAAGCAGTCAAATGCACTATACCTCTTCCAGCAGCCAAATTACATGGATTCAATACTCACCACCGGGCGGGGCGTCGACCCATGGCGACACCAGGATCCTCAGTGGCTGCAATGAAACAGAAAAAGTCAGAAGGCGACGACAAGGTTCGAACCACGGGAGGGAAGCGGCGAGGGCACAGCGAGAGGAGGGAACAGTCAGCACTCACCCCGCCGAAGGGAAAGAGACGCTCCCACGCCTGCGCATGCTTTATATAGGCCGCCTCTCTTCGCGCGTAGGAACCATAGAGTCCTGGCGAGGGCGGGTGGACACTCTATCAGACTTGCAGACCATAGACGTGAAGGCGCTCTGCGCCTGCGGGCAGGCAGCCGGGTACATGCGCAGGACGGGAAAGAGGCGGAGAGCGTGACCGCAGTGAGCTAGCGAATGGGGGCCAGCCACATCAGCACGGGAAAGCCCTTTCCAGCTGGCCATCTTGGGCGTAGAACTCGGCCCGAGGCTTTGTTGTAACTATGAAAAACTTCTGTTCTTGAGTTGAAAAAGGGGAAGTGCCCCCGAGTGGGGCTCACGGCGGCTGCGCGGCTGTGAGCTTGTTCTAAGGATTCACTTTGCCCGTGACACGCTCTCTGCCTCCCTCTGGGCTTCAGGGCCCGCAGGGGACGCGCCATGCTGGAGCCTCGATTTGCATTCCTTTGTCGGTAGGGAGGCCGGAGGCCGAGGCGCGCCCCCACGCCCCCACTCCCCGCCAACCTAAAAGTCCGCAGACTGTGCCGATACCGGTTGGTCTTTGCCCACCCGCGGGAAAAAGGCCGATGACGAGCCTCCACCGAAATCCAGGTTCCAGGGGACCCCGAGAGCACCGTTGGGTCCTCCCCGCCCACCCTCTTGGGGCAGAGAAAAGAGACATTGTGCTTCCGATGGAGAAGAGGAGAAAGAGGGCTGCGATCCCTTATGGCAAAGGGCGCGGTCACTCGGTCTCCCGCCCCATCTAGTCCAGGCCTCTGAGAGCAGCGTCCACCCTCCCAGGGCCCAGAATGTGCGTCTCCCCTTCTCCCCCACCCCCCAACACACACACTCCTTACCAAGCCGCACCATATTCCAATGCCGCCTGAGTGTGTCTGGGTGGCTCTCCATAAGCATGGTTTCGGCCTGGCCAGCGTGGGTCAGTGGTTGAGCATCGGCCTATGAACCAGGAGTCACAGGATCGATTCTGGTCAGGGCACATGCCTGGGTTGTGGGCTCAATACTCAGTGTGGGGCATGCAAGAGGCAGCTGATCCATGATACTTTGTCATCATTGATGTTTCTAAACTCTCTCCCTCTCCCTTCCTCTCTAAAATCAATTTTAAAAAGTAAAAATAATAAAGTATGGATTTGCCCCCCCCCGCCCCCCACTCCACCCCAGGAGCCCAGTATCCAGGGAGAGGTGGGCAGAACTGGGCCAGTCACACGGGAATGTGCTGCCTACCAGAGGTGTCTGTCCAAACTTTTGGAGATGGGGAAGGCGGGAAGTAAAGTATTCTTAGTGTTACTTGACAGAGGAGGGGGAAGGATGTGTGTGTGTGCGGCCCTCCAGGGAGGGATTCCTGCTCAAGCATACCTGTTGTCCAGGATAACCTGGCACTGTAGTAAATGGCTGTGGCTTGGAAAGATTGTGGTGTTTTTTTAGGGCAAAAAGGCTGGAATGTTAGGTCTGATCAAATAATTGAATCAATACTCCCTCCCCTGGGAACTGACAACTGACATTCCCTTTTGCTCCTTAGACCACATTCCACTTGCTAAGACTGGGAATCGAACCAGAGAGCTCTTGGTTCCTGGATCGATGCTCACCACCGAGCCACACTATGGGCTGGAAATTTTTTTAAATATACCTTTATTGATTTCAGAGAGGAAGGGAGAGGGAGAGAGAGAGAGAAACATCAATGATGAGAGAGAATCATTGATTGGCTGCCTCCTGCACCCCCTCCCCCCCCAGGGATTGAGCCTGCAACTGGGGCATGTGCCCTTGTCTGGAATCGAACCCGGGACTCTTGAGTTCACAAGCTGACTCTCTATCTGCTGAGCCAAACCAGCCAGGGTGGGCTGGAAATTTTTATTGATGTGTGAGCTATTTCCTCTTGGGTTAGACTTCGTGTCTGTTCTCTGGAGCATATAGGTGTTTGACACTAGTTATGGGTCTAATGTCAAGGGGATGGTTGCAATGGGTCTCAAGGACAACAGGTGTCCCCTGGAAAGGCACCTGCCCAAGTGAGGTAATGACACAGTCCTCCAGCAATGGAGCACCAGTCCCCCAGACATGAGAAGGCAGGCTACTCACATCAGCAAGGGAGGCTCAAAGGGACTGGGGGCTTCCTGATAGTCAGCTTCAATGGAGGGTGACCAGATGTCCCAGTTCCAGGTTTCAGGGCCCTGCTCCTCCAACCTCTGCCCTACCTTTCACATGAGAAACATGGAGAGCCTGGATGGTGTGGCTCAGTGGTTGAGTATCAACCTATGAACCAGGAGGTCACGGTTTAGTTCCTGGTCTGGACACATAGTCAGGTTGCGGGCTTGATCCCCAGTGGGGGAGGCAACCAATCAATGATTCTCTCTCATCATTGATGTTTCTATCTCTTTCTCCCTCTCCCTTCCTCTCTGAAATCAATAAAATATTTTTTTAAAAAGAATCATGGAGATACTGGGAATTCAAGTGACACTGGGATTCTGTAACCCACACAATTTGTTGGGGTCCAGCCCCAACAGGTCCAGGGGTTCCTAAAGGTGTGGACGGAGTCGGCGAATGGCACGGAGACAGCAGCGTTCAGTTGATCAGCATAGTTGGGTTCTCCAGCCAGGTTCTGTGTTTATTGTCTTGTTACATCTGTATTTATAGCAGTTGATTTTAATCCTACCAATTCTATTCCAAAGGTTAGGGCGTTTCTTATCTCCATTCCACGGTTACTCTATTGTTCTATTAAGCTACAAGGAAGTAACTGAAGGAGATTATTCTAAGTAAAGATTATGTAGCTTAAGCGTGATTGTTCGTAGTTAAAGTGATTAATTACCTGCCTGGAACTTAGTTAAGGGGTTTCATTCCCTCCCTAACTCCAGGGAAAAATTCCCACCTGGGGAAACAACCTTTCTCGGAGAGGTGACCTTGGCTAAAAAACACATAGTGCCAAGAAGGGGAGCAAACATATTAAGAACAGTATGCCATAAACCCCAGGTCCCTTATGTTGTGCAGATGTTTCCTCCCTGCAGCGACTGTGTCAAGCAGCAAGGATGGACCGGCTTCCGGCAATAATTAAACACTGTGTTTGATTTTCAGCTCTGTCAGCCCTGCAGATACAGGAAGTAGGAGAAGTTCTCTGCTGTCATACTATAAGGAGCTAAGAGATAAGGACCTGGAGCTTGAATATAAGGGGCTGGTTACTCAGGGTTTGGAAGACTGAATGTGCAAAACGGGAAACCGC